AATGCCTTTTACCTGTTGTTTTAGGACATCCAAAAAAATATAGTCCCGGGTTTTTGCCCTGTTGAAGTTCAAAATKTSTATGGTTCTTCATTGAAACTTTGAAGGATRYTCATCRTTTGTTAACAGTTYTTGTGCGCGCGCACATCGTGGGCTCAATTTAAACGTTCAATAGCACTAGGCAGTCAGTCACGTTAGAGTGCACCCCTGATATCCGTGAAAACGTTGTACAAAAGTGTAAAAAATAGTGCAAAGTTTTGTTTTGKTCTACTGAGGTCTACTGAACTTACTRATTTGTGCAAATTTGTGTAYCTGCATTACAAGGACGCCGTGCAATAATTTGTTCTCTTAGTTTCTCAGGTTATGTGTTGTAAAGTCTGATTCAGGGTCCGTGCCGTGTGGTGTTAAAGAGTTATCTAACTTAMGGTCCTCGCGTAGATCAGCTGCACTTAATTACAGGTCAAACTGCTCATAGGATGCACTGACTTGGATCAGTTGGAGTTTGTTTTAGGACTTAATCGTTTTGGTTTTTGGGTTATGCCAATAAGTCATAATTATCTCGCTTTGTTGCAAGTGTGAATGAGACATTATTGCAGCAGGAGATCCTTTACATGCTTAGTTATCGAACAAAGGTACTTACATCCCATGAGTAGGTCAAATTCTTGACATCTCGTATTTCACTAGAAGGTATCTGCACACCTTCAAAAGGTCCAAACATAGTCCTTTTGTAAATTAGTCTTGCAGCAAAGACACCCATGTCATTGTCAGGGATACCAGATTCCTTGATCACTAGACCATCCGGTAGAGAGGCAACACTAGGGGAGAAGTGGTCGGCAGATACTGTCCTAGTTGACTTGATCCACTCCAATGGACCATGCTCTGGGCAGTGACCTTTGTAGAGTTTGTCACAATCATCGCACACTGTAAAATAAATATTTTAGACTAAGTTATTATCCTYAATAATCATTTTTATAAGGCCAGGAAAACTAGCAAAATTGCARTAGTCCCCTTCASAGTTCCCTGTGCCATCCTGAAAGGTAACCATGCCTTTGCATCRAAGCKAGACGAACGGTGAGCTTGCAATGATAGAGACATKTGAATAATTGTCCAAGGTGTTAAAAAAGGTCTATCATTRCAAGCTTACCGTTCGTCTCGCTTCAATGCAAAGGCACAGTWACCTTTCAAGATGGCGCAGGGAACTGTGAAGGGGACTATTGCCCCTATTTTTGGCTTTCATTGACCAAAGTCTGAAAAAGATTGAGAATGCTCTTTTGCTTTGGGATAATCTTCATTTTAAATCATGCAATTTGTTGTGCAACATTGCTGAGGTACAAGACTCCGTGCACAACAAATTGTCATATCGTTCAAAAGTATTCATAGATGATTACTTTTCAAAGCAGCAGATAGTAATTGCCATGCATGATAATCGTAAATGTGTTCTAGCTAGTAGTAAATGTGTCATTTACATGTATTTAGCAACTGTATGGGATTAACATAAGAATAGCAAGAATATCAAATGGTTAAGAATAATTTGCTTATTCAGAGTGAATTTTGCTCAATTTTGATTCTCGCTAGCTTTACAAAACTAGTGCCTGAATTTAACTGGGTTTTTCATATATTATATTTGATTATCTAAAATTCTAACAGTGTACTAAACCCAGTGGAGCCGCCTTATCGTGCCATTTTTCACTAGATTTCCTCCCTCCGCGAAAATGTACTTCTAAATTTTAATTAATTCTATAATTCGATCTACATATACAGTAGAAGGGTATAGTAAAAATAAACTCTGTGTAAACCAAGAAAACCTACTAAACCCACCACTAACTACAATTAGTACCACAGAGGGCTAGTTTTTATAGAGAAAAAAATATTTGATAATCTTTTTGGTGGCCAACATTCAATACACTTGGTGGTTGGTTTTACTTAAACTCAAGTAAATTGAATTAATTAATGATCAGGTTAAGTAGAAATGGGCTACATTCCCCAGTCTCTGTTCAGTATGTTGAATGATATAAACATGTGAGAAGGCTAGAAGCTCAGTGCAGTATGAGAAATGCAATACTATATGAGGAAGCTAGAAGCTCAGTGCAGTATGAGAAA